ACAGTTTAAATGACACAATGCAGGCCGCCAACAGGTTTATTCCTGGAGCTGTCTGGTCTGCTGTCTGGTCTCAACAGATATACACAACAACACCTTTCTGTATGTCCTTGGAAATGGGACTGTTTGTGTGCCCAGGAGTGTTTGTGTATAAGGCACTCCTCTAGTGTATATGTAAAGCGACGACTTGACAAAGTGGAACAGGAAAAATTACAAGCTGCATTCTCTGGCATTCGTTATTTTCCATCTGTTGGGGGAACGCAAGGGCATAAAACACAAAAACACCTGAACACACAAACACACACAAAAACCATTTACAGCATATTGGAGCACATAAACACAAACGTGACATTTGTTTCACACATACATATACATGCAATTAAACACATACCTTTGCTTACAGTAAGTGTGATACTTCACACAGTTTGCTTTCTGAGCACATGTAGTATGAGAGTTTAGCATTTTTGGCAGATGATGCTGACATGTAGTTTAAAATCAGTTGAGTTTGTGCTATGTAAACAACGTGTTGGTCTTTAGCTCTGCAGAACTTGTGGCTCACACCCAGACTACTCAAAAAACTGCACCCACTGCCATGAGCTCAAATCCAGCAAACAAATTCGGATTTGCATTTGGAAAACTCTCCATGATTCTATAAGTAGTTATTTCATTAGCCAATGAGTCACCTTCTTTTGGGAGAAGGTGAAGCCATTGATTTTTGATATTGGCATAAAAAACCCTGATTAACCATTTGACTGCTGAACTTTTCATCAACCAATCAGAAGCCTTGGAGTTATGTTCCAATTGGACAATTGTGCAGGTTGTGATTTATGTCCAGTGGCAACATTCTATGCCACTGCAGCAAGTGGTTGCCCTTTAAACATCACAGGGGGAATTACGCTTGTTGACAATGGGGTCTTAATCTGGTCTGTGGGGCAGGATTCAAATATCAGACTGGAGACAAGAGTTTGTGTCTCAGGTCAACAGTTAATATTTGCCAGTTGTTATGTGCATTTATCCAAATACTGAGGTACTAATTTACTAATTTAAGCCCATATTTTTTTCTGTACACTATGTAAAACAGTTCAAATTAGCTCATTCCAACCAATTAAAAACAATTTATTACATTTAAAAATAAATTCAGCAGTGTTTTTACAGTTTGGTAGTTCCACTTTAATTTAATGGTCATTTTGCAGAATCAAGCAATATCAAAGTTCCGTCTGGCTCCAGAGCTGAAGTGGTTGATGGTGATGGATATGAGAGACAATTTTTCAAACTGTCAATTTTCCTATTATTTGAATATTTGAATTTTCCACCAGGCTCACAGATAATGCTACATACATGTGTTGAGATAAAATCATAGATCGTATAGTGCAGTTGTTAGAATGTTGGGAGGGCAAAGATTCAAGAAGGGGACAACGACTCTGACTACAGAGGTGAAATTACACTCACCAGTGATGTCACACTGCACCGAGGCACAACTCTGCATAACTTTTTGAATGTGAAAGAATCAACCTCTAGATGGCGACAAATTTAGGATTTTCAGAAATCTGTGATTTTAATTGACCACTATTTGTTTCCATTGTTTCCAGTTGTAAGTACAACAACAGTGATATAACTGTAGCGTGTAGCTGCTCGCAGACATGCACTGAAGTTCGGAGATCCTCCAGAGTTTCTCAGCAGGGCTGCATGTGTGAACACAATTATCCGAGAGAGAGCCTCCAGAGTTTCTCCACCTCCTAGTATAAAATCCACAGAAACTCTGAACAAGCCAATGTGAGAACACACTAGAAGATCCTCTGCAGGATTCACCGTGAGTGAGTGAAGGGTTGATGATGCTTCTAACACACGACAGATGCAAAAAATAAATAAACTACAACAATACAGATATCGCAATATTAAAAATGTAGCCACACACATAGAAGACACTGACGAAGACGTCAGGAGAGTTTGTGGTGATAAGAGCTGACGCCGGTGTTGATGTTGATCTCTGCAGCATAATTAAAACATTACATCCTGCTTATGTTGCCTCTTCCATTCCCACTCTGCGCCTCAAACGTCTTTTTTCTACTTTTATGAATCATTAGCCAGCGGGTACAATCTCCGGTGACAAAAAGCTTTTGTCAGCAGCTTAAGCAACTGTAATCAAGTTCAGCGAGTTCAAGAGCAATGGTGAACTGTAGATACGTTTAGAAACAGACTTAAAAGTCATTAAGTACCAGAGTTCATCTCTGAGATTCAATGAGGAAATTTTGAAAATATCAAGAATTATAAACTGACTTTGGTGTGTCTCAAACTGTTGATAGACTGTTTTATGTACATTAAAACCTCTTCACTGCTTCTAATCTGAGCTCTTGTGGCTGGAGAGGCCATAGGCCCAAGAAGTCCAAGTGATGTTCACTCAGTCGTTAAGTTTTAGAGTTTAGTCCAAAATATGTTGTTGTTGTTTCTTTAAATCAGACTGATGCATGGACAGAAGTAACGTAGGACAGAGGGAGGAGCAGATGGGTTGACGCATGTAGATCTTTGGGGAATTGCTATTTTGTATTTAAGGGAAGAAAATATGAGGACATATATAATATTGTACATCCTTAAGTGAACCTTGTTCTGGGAGCATATTCTCCTCATCGTTTGTCATCCTGTCTCTTCATCCATCGTCTCATGCCCAGCTGAGATTTGCTGGATGCACCATTAATCTGTGCCGCTTTACTGTCTTAATCCCATTCATTATCGCTGCTCGGGTTTGGCCAAAGGAGGCCAGATTTATGTCTTAGCTCGCTCTTTGCAAGGTTTTGCCGCTCCTGTTGGTTTTGGAGGGAACACTGACTCACCGCAGCGCTTTGCTCTGGAGCTGGCTGGTGAGAAGTTTAGCCATCACTGTTCGCTCTGTGCATTTTCTGCGGCTGCTGAATTAATGTGTGACCTCTTTTTTTTTTTTTCATAATTTGTCCCCGTGTGTAAAAACTTTCAGCCCGTTCCAGATGTTTACAGTCAAATGCAGAAGATGGGAAGTGATAGCATGGACGGAGGCATGTAAGGGAAACCAGAGGGAAAAAAGCCATGGGGAAAGAAAACAGTCCAGATATGTAAACAGTGGTTATGGAAGCCTTCAACATCCTCTGTAAACCAAGTTTTAAACAATCATGGCTGAATTGAAGTAAAGGAAACACTGAACATGTGCCATACTAATGTTGTGGTGAATCACAATTTTGAGGGCTATGCCAAAATAAATTAGAAATGCCCATGTGAATTTGATTTACATATAAGTGGGATTATGTAATTATCCAGTCATCGATTCCATGGAGAATATTTTGCTTTTTGTATGAAATAAACACTTCAGCAGCTTTATTTTTAGACTCCTGTGTACTCGTCCAAAAGTTGCATATGTTCTGTACACAATCAACCTCTATACCAGTGCCAGTCTGCAGTAGGGGTGTCATTAATGTGTTAATTCCTCTGATTTCTAAGGTGCACACACAGAGGACAGGAAGACGAGCTCCTCCACACTTTTACCATTGTTAACAGCGCCTTCTAGTGGTCGACTGCTAAACCAGCGTGAGTAAATCACCTCCACTGGACATGGGCAAGGCAACTGCTCGGTTACATCAAAAAAAAAAAAAACCCATAGCCACGTTTAAGAAATGAGTTTTTGCAGTTTATCAAGAAGTGAGTGAATGCAGTAAGGAAAGCCGATACCACTTTCGGACACTCTGCTGTTACCGAGGAAAGGAGGAGAAGAAAAAAACCCAGTCAGCCTTCAAACCTGCAGAGATGGAAAGAACAGCCCTGACTGGGGCTGATTTAGAGCACATATGTGGCGCAAGAAGAAGAAGCACACGCTGAAACAATCAGGCGTTATTCTGCGTGCAGGCTATAAAATAATAGAGCCCAGTTGCACTTAAGTTGTCAGGCTGTTGCCTCAAATCCCAGAGTTCGTGACATCTTTCCCTCCTTTTTTTCTCTCTCTGTCTCTCCTTTTTCTTCCCCGCACATGACTTTCTATTTTTCTCTGCGTGTGTGTGTGTGTGTGTGTGAGAGAGAGAGAGAGAGAGCATGGGAGAGAAGGGTGGTGTGCAGGCGGTGGATTCCCCCATCCGGCTCCATGTGCAACATAAGTGGTGTCCAATGGAAGCAACAGGTGCAACAGGTGACCGGAGCAGGTATCGCTGCCAGTGTGAGCCGGCGCCTTCCAAGACACAGACACTTTCAATGTGCAGAGCTGTGAACTGCACCAAGTGTGCGTCCTTGTCATTGTTCCATGATGGAGGGGTTATTTTCTTCCGTGCGCACTGCGCTGCTTCCACTTCTCCTTACCAAGGATGTTCCATTCAACCTTCTGACAATGACACACTTATGACTCAAGTGTGTGTGTGTGTGTGTGTGTGTGTGTGGGGGGGGGGGGGGGGGGGGGTTATGATGATTAATATTTTTTGTTGTTAATGCCAAGGAAGAATGTAACAAAGTGATGTAAATGATGTTCTTGTATCCCTGAGAACCGGATACAACTTTCAGGAAAAATGTGATCCAAGAGCGACGCGCAATGTGCCACTTTGGTGCCACTGGAGAAAAAGCTTCTTCTCTTCAACGTTTGGTTTCTTCGAGTCTCCAGATGAATGAACTCGCCCTCTGTGAAGAAAAGGAAGTAGCTTGACTCAAAAGTGAGATTTTACAGCTGAATATGAGCTTGGATGACTTGTTGATCGTGATGTTTTTTTAAATTTTATTTTTGCAGTAAAATATAAAAGAGGTGCATAAAAGATGACATGTTTTTGATTCGGACTGCGTCGCTCTCTGCTGCTGCCTCTTGTACCTCGGCATCAGTTCAGCATTCGGGGTGAAAAAAGCGATCCTCCTCCTGCTGCTGCTGCTGCTGAAGGAGAAGAAGAAAAAAAAAGTGTCTGGCCGCCTGCCAAGCCGTGGAACAAGTGCGCCTCCCTTCCCTGCTGCTTAGCGTATTCATAGTTAGGGGTTTGGGCTCGGCTGTTTTTAAAAAGGCAAGGCAGCTCTCAAGTTGATCAGTCTGCTCAGGAAAACCTCTGGTGGAGAAAGTATTGGGAGTCCAAGCTGAAGGGGAGAGAAGTTGAGCTTTCGTGCAAAGAATTGTTTTGCTCCCGCAGAGGACAACATATATCTCGGGGGGAAAGCAGCACACATATTTTAAATTGCTCATTTGAACTCTTTTTGCACGGTGCACAGATCATTATTTTTTTTTATAGATAACAACACTCCTGGATAAAGACTCTTGGCTTTAGCTTTAAAAATCGGATTATCTGACTGAGGCATTGTGTTCATTAGACCAGTCCACTTTTTTCCCCTCCTCTTCGCATTTCAGCTTTATGCTATAACTGCAGAGAACACCACAATGATTCTGAGTTTTTGCCTCCTGGTGACATTTATCTTGGGGCTGTCCGGCTGCTTGGGCTCATACGTGCCGTGCGAGCCTTGTGACCAGAAGGCGCTGTCCATGTGCCCTCCGGTCCCGATCGGCTGCCAGCTGGTCAAGGAGCCGGGCTGCGGCTGCTGCCTAACGTGTGCCCTGTCTGAGGGGCAGGCGTGCGGCGTGTACACCGGGACGTGCACCCAGGGCCTCCGCTGCCTGCCGAGGAGCGGGGAGGAGAAGCCCCTGCACGCCCTTCTCCACGGCAGGGGAGTGTGCACCAACGAGAAAGGATACAAACCCGCTCACCCGCCCATAGGTAAGACCCGCACCGGCCGCCCGGCTGGCTGAACGCATGCACGGGGAACGAGACGATGACTACTTAAAAAACGCATCAGAGCATACGGCTCACATTGCGCGCACGGCGGCTGTGGATCAGTGTTTAATAACATCTCGTCCCATGCGGGAATCTGCAGTGTGGTAATGCAAACAGTAAAACAGCTACACCACCAATATAATCTATAAACCAACCGGTTCCAAGTGAGATTTTTTATTTATTTATTCCCTTTGTTGTTATTTGTTTTATTTCATATTCTAGGGCCATGTGTGGTTCCCTCACCGCAACAGCCGCTGTTGTTGAGCGTGTGTCCGGTGCTCTGTGACACAGCGTTTGTTTGACAGATGGTTTGAGGTGCCATCTGATTAAGTTCTATCCACTGCCGTGATTAAACAGGCTGCAGGAGCTTACTCCTCCTCTCACCTCGGCTGTTTGTGGAGATATAAAGTCAACGCACCTTGGTGGCCGCACGCATCCAGCTTTTGCGCCACCGTGGTGCCGAGCTGTGTTGTGCTAAGCTTTATTTATATTTTTTAGGATCTCTATAGCGGGTTAATGACACGGGGGGTGGACACAGGCAACCACCGGTGCGGTTTGTGCCCTCAGTGCTAGAGAATGTCGCTTGCGGGCGGCTCGACGCAGGGCTGCGGTAAACGCGTAAAAGGCGCATGGCGTGTCCCGGGAGTTGGAGTTGCGCCTGTCGGTGCGGGACAGTCGCTGTCAAGCTGCGGTTAAGCAGCGCACAGGGGTGGTTGACAAGGATCCAAGCAGCCCCACCTCCACCCCGTTTTAAAATATTTACATTTCAAGGCAGCGAGGCTTAATACGCGCATTTTTCTGTTAAGGATCTTCCCCGTCTTGGCAAAAAATGTTCTCAAGTGGGACAAGAACTTTATCAGAAAGTGGTCTGGGGGCAGAAGCGGGGCTTATTTATGTGAGGTGTATGGGGAGAGGGGAGACGTGGGTCTTAGTCTGCAAATTGCCGCCTTTAATATCCTGCGCTTTAACAAGTGTCTGTCAAACGCCGCGATTTTCCATCCTCACAGCGGAGCGCATTAGTCCTCTGCGCCTTTCAATTCCAACCCCACTCGCACCTAACCATACTGGAGATGTGAAATCGATCCATGCGCAGGGAGAAAGCATAGCCCTGGTTTTATAGACTGCATGGGAACGGATGAGGTGCCGCTCCACTTACTTTGCTTCCAGTTAAAGCAGAATTTAGATAGATTTAGGTCTTCGGGCTACCCCTAGGGTGGTGTTTAGAGTCGGATTACCACTAAATCTGTAGCCTCTGCGTGTGTGTGTGTGTGTGTGTGTGTGTGTGWGAGAGAGAGAGAGAGAGAGAGAACAGAGACAGAAGGAGAGAGAGAGACTGAGGGAGGGTAGAGCTGAGCCAGAAGCCCTGAATGATTTAAGACATTTCTCGGTGCAGCAGAGAGGTCCACTGTCACTCAGAGGTTTTAGCAGCTTGTCAACAACTGGATAAGTAGGTGGCAACCACAAAGGTTTTGGCCACTCGCCTCATTCTGTAAAACAGGCTACCACTGGGCTCATTTTGGCTGCTGACAGAATCATTAGGCTATTTGCACCCAGTGGGCCAACCCTCACCTCTCCTCCTAATAATGTTCGAACAGAACGTGTCTAAAAATACCCAACTGAACCTGAGCATTGATTATTGACTGGTGTAAAGGTAGGCTGTGTGTGTGTGTGTGTGTGTGTGTTTGCTCTCACATATGCTTGGGCGGGGCTAGGTGGGTGTCTGGGTGTGCATTGTGTGTGATTGTTGTGAGTGATGACACCTCAGGCCATTTCTTCTCATTCTGCCTTTGCACACACGCACACACACACACACCTGGGTGTACTTCTATCTTAGTGAGGACACTCATTAGCATAATGCATTCCCTTGCCCCTCACCCTAACCTAAACCTTATTCTAACCCTAACCCAAAACCAAGTCTTAACCCTCAATCAGCCCTCTGAAGAAGTGAGGACCAGCCAAAATGTCCTCATTCTGTAGGGTCTATGCTTGAAAAGGTCCTCACTAATATATAAGTGCAGGAACACACACGCACACACACTGAGCCTAACTTCTTTGTTGGCCCACAGAGGTAATCAGAGCATCTTTTGCTGCCGCTGGCAGTGCACTCACTGCATGGGCGCTCAGTCACAACGCAGTGATTCAGCAGAATGCCTCCGGCTCCCTCTTTCCTCTGAAGGGCCTTCTGTCAAACGGCTCGGCTGATGGGAACTGTTGAGGCAAACTCGCTGGCTTCCTGTGGTGTGGGGTTGCAGCTGTCTGTGTGCTCTACCAGCTGAGCAAGGCAAACACAGGGAGGAGGAGCTCAAGTGTCCGCCACACTCAGGAGGCCATGAGAGCTGCAGCCTACTAAATATTGACTGGTGCAGCCAAACAATGGGAGAGAGGAATCTTTGCTATCCTCCAGCCCCCCCCCACCCCTACTGCTCATGTAAAAAATAAAAGGATCGTGGCCGTCACTCTGCGTCTGGCTTCGTGTCCCAGCAGTGCATTAATTCATGTTTTGCCTGCGCTGTGATCCCAGGAGTTGTGTAGATTGTGAGGCACAGGAGGTGGTACGTGCTTTGGGGGCACTTAGATTTTGTAAGCGGGTGAATCAGACCCTGGAAAGCTTGCCAACAGATATGACTTCATGGCAGCAGGCCCCTCGTCCTTCAAGCTTCTGAAGGGGCCTTATGTTTGAACAGATTGCTCTTTGCCAAGAAACAAAAGATGATTAGGGAGTGGCTCCAAATCCAGAAATACTCCACTCTCACATGGACAGAAATGCTGTGCCCCTTATTAGCATAGCAACAGGAAAACTGGTGCCTTTACCGATGATGTGCATGCCTTACATTTCTCTTGGCTCTTTGGATGCAGTTTTAACCTGTTGCCAGCAAGTTTCTGAGCTATTTCAGCCACAGTTACAATCCGAATACTTAGTGCTTTTTCACACATTCATGTATTTGTCATGAATATTTAGAATCATCAGTAAGTCGAGCAGAATGCAGGCACCTGATGCTTAATGCTTGCCAGAGAACTTCACATAGGCCTTCATTATGTATGGCAACACCTTTGCGTTCACATACACAATTACTTGTCATCACGTACTTCTAGAAAGTAATTCAACTTTGAGAGTCACCATCTGCTTTATCCATGTCCACAGCTGGTTACTGGGTCGTAGCTGAGAAACTGAGGCTCCGTCCATACACTTCGACTAATGACAACCAGCCACTGTACTCCGTCTGCTGCGGCCGTTGCATGCTCATACAGACATGCCACGTTCGATATAGCTCTAGTCACGTGTGTCTGTTCCCAGCGGCCTGACAGCTTCATGATGGGCTCATGTGAAAGGAAAGAGCGTATGTGGCTTTCCACCCCGTCTCACCTTGAACATCTGAGACAGCGCAGTGAAAGCTTAGCATGCTGCAACTGATCTGTTGCAGGTGCTGCGGAGAATTATTGCAAAGGTCATTTTGCCAACATATCACACTAGGACTTTGAGAAAAAGCACACAATTCATGGAAAATAAGATGCAGGGGAAAGAAGATAGATTACCCTTATTACCTGTCTTTTATTCAAAGCATATTTTGCCTAATTTCTCCATGTTAAACTTTTAAGAGCGATATTTGTACAACTTATGGTCGCTGACACCTAACCTGCTGGTGTCAACAGCTGTGACAAAAATCAACACTAGTCGCAAGCATGCGATTCAAAAGGCAAGCATGGCTGCATGCTGGGCTTCAAAATGATATCACATGTGTTTAGACATGACCGGTGATCTCACCATGACACCTGGTTACAGGCCAGCATGGCACAAGAGAGCACTCCACAGGGGAGTTGTTGAAAACTCAAATCACTAGTAGGGCTAAAAACATAGTCCTCTTAAGTTTCTGAGACAACGGAGGCTCCAGTGACTGCTCTAAAACGATAGTGTTGCCCAGAATGTGCGACAGGTGAAACTTTAACTGTGTCCCAGCTGCTCATCCCATCTTTTGCCTTGAATAGTGTGAAATGCTTCACAGTTGAGGACATTGTGTCATTCTTGATTCTATAGTATGGTCACGAAGAAGCAAAAGTGACTTCAAATGGTGTATGTGTTGTTACTCGTAAACATTTTGGGTGTGCTTAGTCTCACACCATAATGCTGTAGATCCCACAATAAAAGAATGTGTTAAACACAAATTAAACTTAAAGCCAGTATTTCACACACTGTGATGTTTCTTTTTATGCTGCTTGGAGATCTGCCTTGTACAGTACGCTCGACACTCGCCAAAATAGCTGCTTCAGCCGCCTCGGAATAAGAACATCGTCACACCCAGCAATTGTGTTGTGGTGATGGTGACCCAAAAACAGATTGTGTCCGTCCATGTGGCTCGTTAAAAAACCGAACTCAGATGTGGGATGAGACCTCAGACCAAAATTAGGAATGTACAGTAGAAGGGCCATGCGCCTAACTCTGATAATATACTTTTCACATGACCACATTCAGCATGGGCTGAGCGTTTGTTTACACTGTGGAAGCTGTAAACAGGTCAGAAAGTTTGCTTACCTATAGGAGCATTTCCCATTGGGAGAGATTTTCTATCCCCTCACAAGTCCTGTTTTGTGATTTATTATCCTTGAATTGTTCTTGCTGCTATTTATACCATGCATTCAGAAAAGCAGGAAACTTTTTGATTGCAATGAACATATTCTGTGTGCACAATACCATGGGAAGAGTTATTTCCTGCATGTTCAGTAGCTGATTGAGAGCATGCATGGGGCCAAAGAACACAAATCCCTCTGAAGCAACAGGACATAAGGGTCAAAACATAATTCCTTTACTCTTGCAGACAAACACAATCATGGACATAACATTATATATATATATATATATATATATGTATATATATATTTTCCTCCAGCTACAAAAGGTTTGGAATGGAGTCTTTGTCAGTCTCATGTGAACAAGCTTAATGCTGTCATCTCATGTGCAGATGAGGTAACCTGATAGATTTTTGCATCCAGCCTAATGCCGCCTTATGAAGGTGCTACTAAATGACAGTGCTATCATTCAAGTCAAAGTTTGCTTTAGTCAAACAACACTGATTTTGTCACCTCATCTGCAGATTCTTTTGCCACCAAAATGTCCTGCAGACTAATTTCTTTTGGTCATCAGGACCTGAGTTTTGCGCTGCTGCACACACATCCTCAGTGCCTGGGTTGTTCACACCTCCCTTTCTGCTCTAGAAACTGCAGGGTTATCGGGCCATGGCCTTCTTTCAAATATTAAGTAGCTGAGGCTGAAGGATGGTTTACTAATGTTGTGCTTTATAAGGCGCAGGCCCTCAGGCTCATTTATCCTCACAATTATCTTGTCATACCCCCTGTTGAGATTAAACAGCACGCCTATTCACTACCCTCTTACATCTTGTAAAGATGTAATTTCAGATGCTGCACAGAGACTGACTTAATCAAAGGCCGGACGAAACAAACATGGGTGTAATGCTGCGAAATCCAATGAAAGGTGGGAGAATGTATTGTCCGTTCTTATTTCACTATCTAAATGGAATGATTATAGTCTTTACAATCCAGTGGAGAGAAAGAATCCAAAGAAGGAGTAGCTTATCTTTAATGCTTTGGACTGCTGCCCATAAGAAACTTGGGATATTCATGAAGCATAATTGTGCGCAGATGTTAATTTTTAAACAGAGAAGTATCAGGTGCACCTCCTTTGGCTTCTCTGCTCCTCTCGTTCTAATGAAATCTTTAGCTGGGGCACAGGGAGAGAGATAGCGGCGCAGCTGAATGGTAGAGCTGCACATGACTTGGCTCATTTGGCTCCTGGCCAGTGTCTTGGCTGAGTTTCAGGAGTTAAACACAGACCCTCTAAGCCTCCTTTACAAGCTGGGTACCCTGAGCATGGAAAAACTGAGTTTTTGTGGCTGCACTGAAGAGCCCACTTCAGAAGAGATGAATTTAGTGATTTTGCAAGTAAAGGAGAAAAGAAGTCAGACACTATTGTGTTAGGAAAAGCTCCGTGAATGTCAAAAAGAAGATCACAAACCTTTTTGAGTCCACGTTCCTAACAGTGGTCTCTAATATTTCCTCTGACTTGTGACTGGCTTGTAAGGTGAGAATAATTGATGTGTTGTGGCTCAGACCTTTAGTCTGACCAATTGTATGCTCAAATGAGATTACACATAAAACAAGAATGCATTAAAAAGGTCTGTTTTATTCAACAGACAGAATATGTCTTTGCCAAATATGTGGCATTTTAATTAACTGCCCTGAGAAATCATTGGACTGTACAGTAAAAATTAAGAGTTTTTCCACAGTGGTCACATGCGTGGTGTACATAGGAATGCTTGTTTGACGTATTTATTTATAGCAAGTAATATCTTCGTAGTCTGAGCGGAGAGACACAAGGACATATCTAAACACAAACCAAGGCCTGCCAAGTCATGAGTTGTGAGATTAATTTCAAAGAGACGGCAGTGCAGCACAGAAGCCAAAGACCCAATTCTGGTAATCACCCTGCCCCCACCTCTCTCCCCTCCCAGAGACTCCAGACGCTCATGCTGTGTCAGGCTCTTTGAACATCAGTTTCTTGGAGCTTGTGTCCTTGTTACATCTCAGTGCCTTTCTCCACGGTGGCTGTGTACTAACAGGCCAGTCAGCGGAGTTATGGCAACTCGTTAAATCATATTTTCCAACGTACCCTGTATACAAGCATACGAGTATGGAAGTCGATTTGGCTCCAAACAGCAGCCGGCCTACAGTCCACAGCCAACATTCCTCTCTGGTTCAGTGCGTCTGGCCCTGTGCACCACGGCGGGTTTCCTTGTCAGATAAATATAACCAGGGTCATCCACTGGCACCAACGCTTCAGCCAGTTGGGGCCTGGCAAAGTCCCCACAATAACTCTGTACTTATGGTACAGCTAAGCCAAAGGGGGGAGCAGAGGGCTTCTTTCTGTGGCCTCAAAGAACCTCTGGCTGGGGGTCCAGGCTTAAGAGGCTGAGCCCCAAAGATAGGAGAGTGGGGGTTGGGGAGGGGCAAGGTTGAGGATAAAGGACCTCAACCTGTGAATATCCTATCAACAGGGACATCCAGATCTCTGAGACTATAGTGCCCCCTGGGGGAGCTGAAATCATGTCTAAGGACTACATAAAATGTGACAGAAATGCACAAGCATTTATGAGTCCACAGAGCAACTGGATTTTCCTAAGCTTGACATTTGAATCAGTTTAATGTGGGACACGTCGCTATAAAAACTGCGCTCTCAGTCCCTTTCGCAGTTAAGCAGTCCAGATAATGTGTTTGTACATTTTCCAGGAACATGTGATGCAGTTTTCCCCAAGTTGAGGAGCACGCTGACACATATGCACTGCCCTGTATCTCTGCATCTGTAGATTAGTGTGATTTCAAGTGATTGTAAAGGTCAACTTTTGTCACTAATACACTAAGAATCTTAAAAGTCATTGGAGGAGGTGTTTGTAGATTACTAGGCAAATCTCTGCTGGTGTTCTCATGGATGCAGATCAGCTGTAATTCGTCTTACTCGATTGGATGTCTGCGTTTCACTTCAGAGGAAGTGATATAAGAGAATTTGGGCGTTGGAAAGCGGTGGTGGGTGAGAAAAGCCCAGTTAAGCTACAGTTTTACTGTAGCTGTTCCATCAGCTGTTGATCTAAGCTCCAGCCTCCCCTCCCCTGTAAACAAATGTTCGGCAACATTTGGTGGCACAAACCCTGGGAAAGGCACCTGGTATTGTATTTATGCTGGTGGGGCAAATGAGCTGCAGGACTTCGCAATTTATGATCATAGGTCAATAATGACTGTTTTTAGATGAGACATTAGCTGTGGTGATGATTTACATGATTAAATCTTAAATCTTTTTCAAAAAAATTAAAATGAAAAGCAGTTTTTGTGAAATAACCCTGCAAGATAAAAAACAAATGTCTTTGCAACAAGAAGCAAATACTTTTTTGAGACTTATATATCTTACACAAGCAGAGATGGTGACATTTCTGTTGAAGCTATACTTTATATCAGCAACTGATCAAGTAAGGTCGATAAAGGGTGGAAATATCAAAACTTTGCTGTTCCTTCAGCTCCATGGGTCATTAAGCGTCTTTCAGTTCCTTCTGTTGGTTTTACAGCCCACAACTTAACTGTTTAGCTTCAGTCACACATTGTTTCCAGCTGTAGAAAGCCAAAGTTCTCTGTGGAAATGCTCTGATGAAATACAGTATATTGCACTCTATGCCAGAACCAAATGACACACAAAAAAAGATACTCGCTGGCTATAGTCAGTTATAATAAAAAAAGTGATCATTTAGTAGCAAGAGCCAGTTGACGGAGACCAATATGGAGCCAGAAAGAAAGTGAACATTAGATTTAAACTCGCCAATTGATGCTAATGTTACTATTTACTTCACTCAACAACTTGGACGGTGATAAAACCTCATTGGGTTGGCTGTTTTTCAGTTAGAGCTTTAAGTGAATTTAATTAATTTACATTGCCCTTAATATTCAGCAGATGGCAGGCACAACACACCAGCCTGATTCGACTGCCTCACATTATGTTTTGCATACAGTGTAAATATCAGTGCATAATTCCATAGCTGCATATGTTATACTGTAGATATAAGTGTGTGACTTTAACTGACCATCCTGTGTTCATTCGGTGCAGATCGCGAGTCTCGAGAGCACGAGGACACCATGACCACAGAGATTACAGAGGAGTTTCAGCCAGCGAAAGTGCCACTCCATCCTAAAGACATTGTGAACAGTAAAAAAGCCCTTGCGATGCGCAAGGAGCAGAAGAGGAAGCAGGGCAAGCAGCGCTCCATGGGCTCTCCCATGGACTACTCCCCTCTGCCCATCGACAAGCATGAGCCTGAATTTGTAAGTATACAATATTGGTTGGATCCTGTGTCATCTATAAAGCCACTGTGTGTAGAAACTGAATGTTTATGACTTTGGCAGCTCCTAGAAGTAATAAAAGACAGTGTGACAGACAGTTGCTCCCTTGTAACCACTTCCTACATAGTTGCGTCTTAATTCGCACTTAATTGCAGAGTAATGTGAGCGATGATTGTAACCCTGTGCTGTCTTCTGTCCTCCCTACAAAGGGTCCATGCAGAAGAAAACTGGATGGGATCATTCAGGGGATGAAGGACACTTCTCGTGTAATGGCTCTGTCTTTGTACCTTCCCAACTGTGACAGAAAAGGATTCTTCAAGCGCAAGCAGGTGAGTGTCCACTTTTTTATGTCAGACGTTCTTCCAAATGTTGCATCTTGCGTTTAGACTTGCAGTTTTCTCTTTTCCTCCACCACCATGAACTTAACCCTTAAGTCACGCCAGAATTAGAAACTGAACAAAATCTGTAAAAAAAAAAAAAAACCTCACAATTTCCCAAACTCCCATTCTCAGACTCATTCAAATAGTCACTGTGTATATATAGTTAGATATATATATTCAAGCTATACTAGCCTTTTTTCACAGAGACAAACACATTTAGTTGTCACTTTCTGTGATTAACAAGCCTGTACCCTCCCCACCTTCTCTAACCCATTCCTCTGTCCTCTAACCCACAGTGCAAGCCATCTCGCGGCCGCAAACGAGGCATCTGCTGGTGTGTGGACAAGTATGGCGTCCAGCTCCCCGGCACAGACTACAGCGGAGGGGACATTCAGTGTAAAGACCTGGAGAGCAGCAACAACAACGAGTGAAAAAGGAGAGGACCACCCACGACCCCCTATCCCCCATCCCCTAACTACCACGTGACCCAGGGTCCACGCCTCCTCTCCGAATCACACCTGTATGCTCCGCCCTCCATTCACCTCAAGATTTTTGTTTTTTCAAATTGGAAAAAAAGGAAGAAAAAAAAATCCAAATGAAAGAACAGGCTGAAAAAGACATGTGTATTTTTTTTCTTTTCTTTTCTGTTGTTGACCAAGCACTCATCTTCGAATGAGGGGAAAAGTCCCAGAAGATTTAATAGATCCCTTGACTATTGCAAACGGGACCCCTTGAGCCGGGTGCCCTGATTGCAGATCCATGAAAATATATGCACACAATGGATATATTTTTATAGAAGCTGGGGGTTTCACTACAACACTTTGTATGATGTAAAAATTAACACAAAATCATATTGAAGATAGAAAGAGCATCAGGCACACTGATTAAAAACCGATCACCTTTAGGCTGTGGAACACGATGCTTCCGTGGAACTGACAAATTGGCTGTTGAGAATTTTTTTGTTTGTTTTTCCAAATGAAAAAAAAAAAGAAACAAGCGATAGGGATTTGCTGTAACAGTTGACTCTATCTTGGTATGTGGTTCTGTCAGAGCACTTATAAATAGGGGAACCTGCTTAGATATGTGTTAGAAAACTTCACAAAATGATGCATGCATGAATGTGTGTATGTATGTATACAGTGTGAGTGTGTGGTATGTATCAGCCTATATGTTGGCGTATGATGGAGTGAGCCTACTACAAAAAAAGAATGTCCTAATTTCTCTCTCTTTCGTTTTGTCACGAGTATTGGTAGCGCTTGAAGTGGTCTTGGGGGCTGGCCTTCTCTTTATTGTAAAGTATGTCTCGGGACACGGAGCGTTCATACACAAACGAGTACGCAGATCGTCACAGATGAACCTATGTAAGTGGCTCTTCGACAATGTAGCTAGCCTGATATGCCAACTGTGCCTATTAGAACAGACAATGCCATGCAGGGCGACACAGAGCTTAGAGAGCACTGACTCTGCTGGTAAAATAACGATTTTTCAGCCGAGGCGACGGGACTCAAGTTTGACTTTCGATCTTTTTCGGAGTTCAGTGCGCAAATCAAACTTGCCAGTCAGGCCGGTTGCTTCTCTGACCCAGTTGTGTGAAGTGTAGTTTTGTATGGTTTTGTTTGTGCTGTTTTCTTTGCCTTCAGTGAAGTAAAGACCGCCCACTTTTGAGCCATGTTCCTTTATCAAGTGGTTTCCCCTCAGTACTGCTACTACAGTGTAACCATGGTGTATTACATTACTTTTAAATATAGTTATTGAATGTTGTTTTTTTCCTGTAGAAACAAAGTATGACAACAATGTAATTGTGCTTGGAAAAAAAACAGATTTTAGCCTGTAAAGAATTTGAATAGGACCTTGTAGCCTGTCTGGAGAGTGGCCCAGAGTCATTCGACTACAGGACAGTCAAAGAAGCTAACCCTCTGGAACCCTTCTGCTTACATGCCTCCAGGAAACAGGTTATCTACCTACGTCTGAGGGGAGCATGATGAAAACAAAAACATTACAGGTTATTACAGGGTCATTTAAGTAGAGTTGTTCTCTCTGTGTGTAAATCACAGTGCCTTCCTACATGCAAATACATTAAATAGTGACGTGAAAGTGACATGGATATGACACGGGGCAATTTAGTCTGTCAGACTGCCCCTGCCAGGGCTGATACTTGATACAACAATAAAGAGGTCGAGGGTTAGTTCTGATTAAGAGAACAACAAATGAATGTGGTAGGTCTTGTAAATGGTGTCAGCAACGCATTGCAAATCCATGTGTAATCTCTGCCTGTACCTCGGGGCAACTCTGGACAAGAACGATGTGTGAGGAACCGCTGCGTACTCCCTCTTTCTTTGACAACCAATAAGCTAGGATTCTCGCTTTTTCATGTGAATGCCAATGTATATGATTGCCAGAGAGGGGAAGCCTGTTTGGAGGCAAATCAACCATTTCCTTTGCTGCAACAAAAGGGAAAATGATATGTGCATCCTAAATGGCATCCGGTTGTGAATACATTGTCAAGGTTCCTCGCCCCTCTTCCAACACCAAATCCCCACTACCACTTTCGAAAAAAAAAGCAGCTTGCACTTATTTCAGTTACTCACTATTGATATTGACACACAACGACGTCCTAAGATGTGGTATCATGAAGTTAGTGGAACAAATTTAAAAAAAAAATACAGCCACAAAAGCTAAATGTTGTGTTATCTTGTGCTAACCTTGTAAAGGTGGTGCTTTGAGGTAATATTTGTTGACAGGGGCTGTGCAGCCCATGCCTGGGACCTCCAATACACAAGCATCTTTTAGGGAAAATAGATTTAAGTAACATGCAGCTAGAGATGTTCTCATGGCGTCTTGAGATGAGAGAAGAGAGACGAAGGAGAAGAAGAGGGAGCGCCATGGGCATTGGTCATGATCAGGGCATTGCCACTTCTCCGATACGGGGTCACCAACTGCATGATATTAGATACAGCTAGCAAGACAGTTATCAGGTCTCAGAGTCACTGAAATCTGGGGAATACAATACTGCAACCAGGAGTAGAATTATCAAGTACCTCTTTGACTGGGATACTCTCAGGTTTTAAAACAATGACATATCTGATATCTGGGATCATTTAATGTCAAGGGTGTGAATACTTAAATGTTCCAAATCAATTCTTCATTGTGTCAGCACCTCCTGTTTCCCCACACCTGCTTGATAGTAGTGACTTCCTCAGTTTTCACGTCTCCTACTTGGTTTAAATTCATATTCACATTTCATACTTCAGTAGTACAGTAATGACAGAACAGCTTTTTTCTGAATACATAACACTTTTTTGGATGTAACGAGTCAACACAATTGGTTTTCATAATTTGGTGTTCACTGGCTTGTGAAATAGACCCATCGGTGGCAGGAGGATAGTGGGAAATAAAATGGTCAGTATTTGGAACTACATAAGGCAAATAAAAAAAAAGACAAAAAATCTCAAATTATTAAGTGAATATCACTGTGTAATATTTATTCAACTTGTAATTTATGTACTCTTTTAACCTTTGTCTTTTTTGTTATGACAAAGCATTTATTTAAATAAAGTTATGTATTCATTTAAGCATCTTGTTGAGGTTTTCATTTCCAGTGTTCAATGTTTGAAAGGACTGACTTGCCGCAAAGTTTGCTTGAAATGTACAGTTTGAAGTGGAATCACCGTGATAGTAAACACCGACTAATCTCCAGGGCACGAGCTGATAAACCTCTTAGACATAAGTCTGAGACATCCAGGGATCTCATGCAGCATGCAGGATGTGACTGTATAAGGCCTCGCCCGAGGGCAAGTCACCTGGTTGTCAGCACCACAGTCAGAAAGATTGCACAGGAACAAGGGAGTCATTTACCACGAGTTTGAACTTCAAGGGGGGATAACACCTAGTTGGACCAGCTCACTGTTCCAATGACTGGGGAGGAGGGGATTCGTAGCCTGGAGGAAGCTTCATCATGTTATGGAAAACCTACATTTATTACCACAAGGCAGAACGGACCTCCCTGAGACACACGTATTAACAAAGACATACACATGCTGCTAAACACAAGTGCATATGCAGAATACAAAGTGTGGTGATAATACAAGTGGAAGAAAAGCATGGGGATGGTCCGGTACACTAAGCAGAACAAGTTAATGATGTCAACAATTGAAAGGTGAAGCAGTTTCCACAGAAACACAATCACACCAGGTTCAAATTCACTGATACAACTTTTGATGATTTGCTTTCCATTTCTGCAGTGTGCGCAAACACACATGAGGATAAAATATTAAAGGGATCCAAGGATCTTTGCATGCTTCCCCACAGAGGGGAGTCTGGTCATTTTTATTCCCTCATGAATTCCAATAAGCGACAGAATGAGACTTTTTCATTTTGGGGGGCCACCAAAATCTTTCCCTGGGGACCTCAGGGCTTTGACCAACTGCAGATGTTGGTGATTTGAAGCAGGGCATGAGAGGGTGGAGGGCCCAGCAGTTCCTGTATGGCAGATCAAGGCTGCCGTAAAGGTTGTGGTATGTTTCAGTGTGTGTGTCTGTGTGCATGTGCGCATGTGTGTGTGTCTGTGTGTGTGCATGCATGCATGTGGCAGGGACAGCACAGACTTTGACTTCAGGGAGGAGGGAACACGTGTTCAAGATTTGATTTGTGAGGCAGTGAACATGACAATTACTTTTTGCCTTCAAAGAAACTGACAACTGCACTTAGGACTTCAAAGCATTTATGCCCCTTTTATTACATAATTAGGCCAACAACGTTGGATGGCTTCATCTAACATCAACTCACGCACCTCACCCCATCCCAAAAGCAGTCCAACTGCTGTGCAGAGCACTTTTGTAATCCCCAGACCTCGACACTCTTCAGAAAGGTATTACTCTTGTCCTCTCTGTGTCTGTGTACACAATCATTTGATTAAACCAATGATCACAAACAATAGCCCTGGGGATGCTCTTACTTGCCTGTACATTGATTTACCCATGGCTGATTATCATTAAAAGCCACTTTTAGAAATCATGTTGAGGTTATTTAAAGACAAAAGCTTACAAATAGCATGCAGATGTTTACACTGCATAATTGGGATCTTTGCAAATCACTGCTTGTGCTCTTGTATAATACTATCTCTTAAAGTGGTAATGGCGGTTCTTTTCATCAACGGGATGGAGATGAAAGGAGATACAAAAGAATTTACAGCAGTTGGGAGTAAATCACATGACTTTCTCGGGGAATCCTCCGATGCTGGTGGTAGAAGACGGCAGACAAGTGTCTGCTGGTTTTCATCCAAGCCCTTTCATCAGAGATGGACTTAGACCCGTAATCCCAAATGGAGGGTTCTTCAGTGCGGATCGGATGTGACTGTGAGAATCACAACTGCATGTTGGGTAAACTAACTTAGAGACTTCTATTTTACATTCTACAAGCCGTAAAAAGAGCATTTTCAGGTACCGTCTTAGATCTATTCAGTTTGTACTCATCTAAGTACTTGTACAAGGAGACTTTGGAGTAATATGAGTAATTAAAATGCAGCTATGTCACTACAAATAGTTAAGACTGGATTAAAAACCTAAATGGAAACACACATTG